ATCTTCCTTCCGAGGAGTGGCTGGTGGGTTTGAACCGGCAGCCTTCTGGTTAGCAGTCAAGTGCCTTAGCCATTATGCTACCAGAGCACTAGAGAATGAAAACAACATTGTTGTTGTTATGTGCTGTTGAGTTGGACTTGACTCATAGCGACCCTTCCTTCGGTTTACAAGGTGGTATCACTACGGAAGTAGATTGCCCTTCTGAGTTTTTCTGGAAATCCAAGAAACCAAGTGGGTTTGAACTGCCAGCTTTCTGGTTAGTAGTTGAGTGCCTTAGGCACTATGCTACCAGAGCTCCTGAAAACAACATGGTACACATTTTTCCTCCCTATGTTCCAGAGTGGTAGTCTTTTCAGTGCCTTGAACATAGCAAGTATTCAAGTCAACTAAGCAAGGCAGGCAGGCATAAATTCAATTGTTTCATTCTACCAATATTTGTCAAGTGTCGAATCAATTCTAGGTACTTGGTAGATAGTGGGTATACCAAATCAAAAAAAGTGGTGCCCAAAACAGACATAGTCCCTATCTTAATGAAGTTATGGCCTCAAACTCACTGCCCTTGAGCCAGATCCAACTCATAGCGAACCCTTCTTGGGTTTTCGAGGCAGTATTACTACGGAAGTAGAGTGCCCAACCTTCCTTCCAAGGAGTGGCTGGTGGGTTTGAACTGCCAGCCTTCTGGTTAGCAGTCAAGTGCCTTAGGCACTTCACCACCAGAGCTCCTAAGTTATGGCTTAGTGAAGCCAAATTAAGATAATGTAAAGAGTGAGATAATTGCTGACCTTTGGATTCAGATTAAAAAAAAAAAAAAAAAACTAAACTCACTGCCATCGAGGTGATTCCGACTCAAATCCCCTTTGGGTTTCTGAGGCAGTAAATCTTTATCAAAGTAGATTGCTCAGTCTTCCTTCCACAGAGTGGTTGGTGGGTTTGAACCACCAACCTTCCGGTTAGTAGTCAAATGCCTTAGGCACTATGCCACTTTTGGATTCAGATAGTGGAAGCAAATATTCTGTTTGCAGAACAATACAGAACAATTATGAACAAAAGGTAAAGAATTAGTAGGGCATAAGGATTCCTTACTATTCTAAGTTTTTCTAGAAATCCAAGAATTTTCTGAACTGTAGTTCTTAACTATATTAAGAAATTAGTTAGCTGGTACACCATCCAATCTGCAGCCCATACAACTATGAGACCAAAAGAACTAGATGGTGCCCGGCTACCAATGTCAACCACTTGGAAGGGGATCTATGTAAGAGATCCTGGATAGAGAGGGAGAGCAATGTGGATAAAACTCAAAATCATTTGGAGAAAAAAAAAGGGGGGGCAGGTTTACTGGTCCAATAGAACCTGTGGAACCGCTGAGACCATGGCCCCTAGCTGCCTGTCAGGTCTGGAATTGAACCCACACCTGTGGCTTCCAGCCAAGCAAAAGACAGGCATATGAGTTGAACATTTACCTGAGGTAGATACACTCCTTGGAGAGAACAATCATGGGAGAAAGAAGGGCTGTTTATGCACAGGGAGAAAGCTCACGGGGCAGAAAGGCATGGAGGGATGGACACAGGGAAGAGGTAATTATCAGGAGGAAATGGGAGGGGAGCTGTTGCATTGTGGCAAATTGTGGTCAATGTCATGATACAAAGTGTATGTGAACTGCTATATGGAAAGTGAATTTGCTCTGTAAACTTTCACCCCAATCATAATAAAAAAAAAAAAAAAGAAAGAAATTAGTTAGCAGGTTTTAGGTTTTTTGGTAGTTCTCAAGGGGTAGTCCTGGGACCACCAGCAGCAAAAGCAAAGTATCATCTGGGAAGTTACTAAACAAAAAACAAACTCACTGCCATCAAGTCAGAACCGACTCATAGTGACCCCTCCTTGGGTTTCCGAGTCAGTATCACTACAGAGGTAGATTGTCTCAGACCCCACTCCAGATCTACCGAATCAGAGTATCTGGGTGTGGAGACCTGTAATCTGTTCTAACAATTCCCCCAGGTGATTCTGATGTGCTATACAATTTGAGAACCTAAAAGGAGCCCCGGTAGTGCAGTGGTTAAGTGCCTGGCTGCTTACTGTTAAACCAAAGGTCGGCAGTTTGAACTTGGCAGCCACTCTGTGGAAGAAAGATGTGGCAGTCTGCTTCTGTAAAGATTTATAGCTTTGGAAACTCTATGTATGGGACAGTTTGGCTCTGTCCAATAGGGTCATAATGAGTTGGAATTGACTTGATAGCAGTGTGTTTTTTTGGGTGGGCCTTAACCTAAAGGAAGTCTTCTATGAACTCTCCTATGTCTCTGAAGCTAACCAGCAACTCAGAAATTCTATATTTAAATTATGCTAATTAAACATTTCTTTGGAGAAATAATTAAATATAAATGTTTTTAAGAAACAATGTTAAAATCATTGAAAAATTTATTTGCTTTACCTTAAATTCAACCTCTAAGCATTTTTTTAAAAAAAGAACAAATTCTCATAATTATGAAAAATTCATATAATCATTAGGTAAACAACTTTACCTAATGAATTTATTCCCTGATCCCAATTTAATGCCATTATTTGATTAGTGAAGTTCAAATATCTGTGTAACACATGTTCAAACATACCCTTTGGAAAACTAAAGACTAAACTTGCTTGTTCTCTCTGTTGCCCTCTGCTGATCTGTAAGACAAATTTCATCTAGTCAAAAGCACTGTGCAATAGTCCTAAGGCAGGTAACATTTAATTAAATAATTTAGTCCATCTGAATAGGCGATCTGCTCAGCTCTAAGCAGCAAGATACTGGGCTGACCTCTAAAAAGTTAACTCTGGATAATCATTAATTTGGAACTGACCTGCAACACCTACTTGATGTGTGGCATATCTTGGTAATCTGTTGGGCCCTTCTCCCAGCCACAGCGTAAGTGTTGATGAATCAGATTCTGCGTGGTGAAAGGAGAAGCCCAAGGAGGCAGCAGGAGCAATAAATCGGCTTTGGAGGATGGGAATGTGCAGCCATACGGCTATTCTCCCTTCTGATCGCCATTGCTGGATTGCAGCTAAAATGTGGAAGGAGACAACAATTTATAAATGTTTTCCAGTGAGAGAAGTGAAATAAATGAAAACTTATCTCAGGGTCCAGAAAGCCATCTGTAACCATCCCCTTCCCTAACTATCTGGGTTGGCTATCTGGGGAGGGATTCCAAACTGTCCTGTCTCTATCACCAGCACTGAAACTGTGCCTTATGCTGTTTATCATCTTGTTTATGTGATTATCCCACCCGACTAAATTCCATGGGAATGGAATCAGTATAGTGCTGATCTGTATATCACCTAACATGTTGCCTGACATATAATATCTACACAATAGTTGTAGAATGGACAAACAGACTGTTTTAAACAAAATATATTTCTATTTTAAGACCATTCCTTTTAACAGCCTTCGTTTTAATCTTTACAAGCAACTATTACAGCCTTCTATTTACTTTCTTTAAGAATTCTACCATATTTTTTTATAAGTTTCAAGATGGCTTAAAAATATAATTTTTAAAATTAATGCATGTTCTAGAAAAGGTGAAAATAAAGAAAAGTATAATGAAATCAAAACTTTACATTTTAATAGCACATAAAGATAATGAGATATAATATTTTAATTTTGTCATGAATGTAATTTTGGTGTTGACATTATACCATATATAGTTTGCATCTTATGCTTTTCACTATATATTATAAATGTTTTACTTTGCCACTAAAATTGTTTTCAAACATAACATTTTAATGACTTTATAATTTTCCTCATATAGGTATGTTATGAGCTACTTATCCAATCTCCTACTCTTGGACATTCGGGCTGTTTCTAATTTTATTATAAATAATACCTTGGTGAATGTAAAGATAGGTTTTCTGACTTTGATTTCTTCAAATGCTCTTGCTTTACTTGAGATTGAGACAGGGAAAGATGCTAATATTTATTTAGTCTTACTCAGCTCTGGTAGTGTAGTGTCTAAGGCATTTGACTGCTAACCAGAAGGCTGGTGGTTCAAACCCACCAGCCACTCCTTGGAAGGAAGACTGGGCAATCTACTTCTATAGAGATACAGCCTCAGGAACCCAAGGAGGGGTTGCTTTGAGTTGAATTGATTCCATGGCAGTGAGTTTGGTTTTTTTGGTACTCAGTTCCAGACCCTTTACATACATTATATTATTTCACTAAATTTTACAAGTGTGAAAGATCTATGTCTCTAATTTATGAGTGAAGAAATGAACCCTACCAAATTTTAGAGTTTTTTTTTTCAAGTTTCAGATTACTTTCTCTACCCGTCATCTTGCTTAATCATTATAACAATTCTCTGTGTGTGTGTGTGTGTGTGTGAGTGCAGAGAAGGAGGAGGCTTTACTATTTAGCTCTTAAGTTCCTTTCCCTCTCTCCTTAGCTCTGCAGTAAACTCCTCTCCATCAAGGACCATGCTCTATACATATTTTCATCAGTGTGTCTAACACAGAGGACCCTTTAATAAAGACTTCTTGATTCGATTTAACATGCAATGGGGCAATGGAATCAAATAAAATAGTAATTGGTAGAGTGATCGATCCTTCTTCTTCTTTCACTGATGATATACTCTTTCCTTTCTTTAATGAGTTATAATTACATGAAGAAAGCAAAAGGTCATTAAAAAGACAGGAAAGAAAGAGAAGTCCAAAACAGATTCAGAAGAGACTGTGAAACTTGCTTTTGAATGAATAGTAGCTAAAGCAAACAGAAGGAATGATGAAGTAAAAGAGTTGAACAAAAAATCTCAAAGGGTACCTCAAGAAGACAAAGTAAAATAGTACAGTAATGAAATGTACAAAGACCTGGAGTTAGAAAATCCAAAGGGAAGCACATGCCCAGCATTTTTCAAGCTGAAAGAACTGAAAAAAAAAAAAAAAAAAAATTCAAGCCTGGAGTTACAATAGCGAAGGATTCTATGGATGAAATATTGAATGGCTCAGGAAGCATCAAAAGATGGAAGGAATACACAGAACCACTGTACCAAAAGGAATTGTTTGATGTTCAGCCCTTTCAGGAGATAGCATATAATCAAGAACCAATGGCATATAATCAAGATATAATCAAGCATATAATCAAGAACCAATACTGAAGGAAGAAGTCCAAACTTCCTTGAAGGTACTGGAAAAATAAGGGTCCAGAAATTGACAGAATACCAATTGAGATGTTTCAACAAACAGATGTAATGCTGAAAGTGATCACTCATCTATGCCAAGAAATCTGGAAAACTGCTCCCTGGATAACTGACTGGAAGAGAGCTACATCTGTGCCCATTTCAAAGAAAGATGATCCAACAGAATGTGGAAATTATCAAACAATAACATTAATACCACTCACAAATATAAGATTTTACTGAAAATAATTAAAAAATGCTTGCAGCAGCACAGATAGGGAACCACCAGAAATTCAAGCTATATTCAGAAGCGGACATGAAAACAAGCGGTATTATTGCTGATGTCAGATGGATCTTCGCTCACAGCAGAGGATACTAGAAAGAAAACCTGTGTTTTGACTATGCAAAGGCATTCAATTGTGTTGATCAGAACACATTATGGATAACATTGTGAAGAATGGGAATTCCAGAACACCTGATTGTGTTCATAATGAATCTGTACATAAACTAAGAGGCAGCCATTTAAAAATAACAAGGGGATACAGCTTGTATTGGGACTGGGAAGAGTGTATATCAGGACTGTATCCTTTCACCATACTACTATTCAATGTGTAATGGTGAGGAAATTATCTGAGAAACTGGACAGTATGAAGAACACAGCAAAAAGATTGAAGGAAGACTCATTCACAACCTGTAATATGCAGATGACACAACCTTGCTTGCTGTAAGTGAAGAGGACTTGAAGTACTTACTGATGAAAATAAAAAAACTGCAGCCTTCAGTATGGATTATACCTCAACACAAAGAAAACAAAATCATCACAACTAGACCAATAAGCAGCATCATGATATATGGAGAAAAGACCGAGGTTGTCAGGGATTTCATTTTATTTGGATCCACAATCAACACCCATAGAAGCAGGAGTCAAGAAAACAAATAACTTATTGAATCCGGCAAATTTGCTGTGAAAGACCTCTTTGAAGTGTTAAAAAGCAAAGATGTCACAATGAGGACTAAGGTGAGCCTGATCTAAGCCATGCTTTTTACAATTGCTCCAAATGCATTTGAAAGCTGGAAATGAATAAGGAAGACCAAAGAACTGATGGATTTGACTTATGGTGTTGGCAAAGAACAGTGAATATACCATGGACACCAGAAGAAGGAACAAATCTGTTTTGGAAGAAGTACAGCCAGAATTCTCCTTAGAAGGGAGGATGACAAGACTTTGTTATGTTATCAGGACGTGTTATCAAGAAGGAGCAGTTTCTGGAGGTGGACATCGTGGTCTGTCATACAGAAAAGGTCAGTGAGAAAGAGGAAGACCCTGAATGAGATGGATTGACACAGTGGCTGCAACAATGTGAGAAGTAGACTGCCATATTTTTCTCCCAAGAAGCAGCTGGTAGGTTCAAAGCAACCTTTCTGCTAGCACCAATTGTTTTAACCACTGCACCACCAGGGCTTCTTCCATAAATATTATAGCCTTGGAAACCCTATAGAGAAGTTCTGTTCTGTCTTATAAGGTTGTTATGAGTTGGTATTTATTCAATGGTAATTTTTTTTTTTTTTTTTTTTGGTAAACTACGTCTGTACCCCTAGGTGGTACAAACAGTTAAGGTGCTCTGCTATTAACCCAAAGGGGGTAGGTCTGAGAGGCTGTAAAATGTTTTGGATGATAAGTCAGGGGATCTACTTCTGAAAAATTAGCAATCGATAACCCTATGGAAATAGTCATACTCTGACACACATAAGATCACCATGAGTGGGAATTACTGGTTTTTCGTTTTTACTATGTTCAACTCATTACAGGTCTCTATACATCAGAATCAAGTTGATGGCAATAAGTTTTCATACAGTTTGTTGGAATTTATCACATATCACCCAATGATAAATCTTCTGTCATCATTTTTTTCTAATATTTTAGGCATTTGCAAGCTCCCAGGTCAGCATAATATTATGCACAAAGGCTCATTTTGTATTTATTAGACTGGCTTGCCTAAAGTCACATAGTGGCATAGTGGGAGAATCAGTGGGAGAATTAGTGCACAACTGATGCAGACAAATGATATGCTAAGGTGAACAGAATGTTACCTGTTCATCCATCAGCATCTCAATTTTATGACAATAAATGTGAAAATAGGAACACTAAAAGAATAGTGGATCCCTGTGTAAATATCCATGAAAAACTATTGCTAAACGACTGGTACCATGTGATTCTCAGCCTATACAACTAAGAGACCAGAAGAACTAGGTGGTGCCTGGCTACCACTGTCAACCACTAGGAGGGGGATCTATGTAGGCGATCCTGGATAGAAAACGAGGTGGAACAAAACTCAAAATCATAAAAAAAAAAAAAAAAAAAGGGACCAGGTTTGTTGGTCTGATATAACCTGGTGGAACCCCTGAGACTATGGCCCCTAGCTGCCCTTCAGGTCTGGAATTGAACCCACTCCTGTGACTTCCAGCTAAACAAAAGACAGGCATATGAGCTGAACATTTACATTAGGGTAGATACAGTCCTTGGAGATCAATTGTGGGAGAATAGAAGGGCTGTATATGCACAGGGAGACAGCATGGGGGGCTGGAGTAGATGGGAGGGAAAGACAAAGGGAAGAGGTAACTGTGCGGAGGAAGTGGGAGGGGAGCTGTTGCACTGTGGGAAATTGCAGTCAATGTCATGAGACAAAGTGTATGTGAGCTGCTATATGGAAAATGCATTTGCTCTGTAAACTTTCACCCAAATCACAATAAAAATTAAAAAAAAAACCTATTTCTAAAATATTGCACAAAATCAATACAAGTTACTTGAAAGAAAATATTTGGACTTCTATTACATTTTCTCTGAGATTATTTTAGTTTCTCTTTACAGGCATCCCATTCAGTCACATTTTATTTACCTCAATAATAGAACAATAACTCTAATTGACAGTACAGAGTGTGATTAATAACAGATTGTAGAGTCAGGGAAGTTACTTAGCCTCTCTATGCCTCAGTTTTATCATCTATAAAACGGGATTAATAATACCAGCTACCTCAGTAGGTTATTATTAGGATTAACTGAATCACTATTTGTAAATACTTAAAACATAACTGGCTATAGAACTTGTTTCATTAAAATATATAAAAAGTATATGGCATCTCAGAATTTATGATATCTTTTATGTAATTTATCTTTGATAATCACATCCATCCAGTAATTAGGTCTGGCTTTATTCACATTTGTTGTTGTTGTTATGTGCCGTCGAGTCAGCCCCGACTCATAGTGACCCCTCCTTGGGTTTCCAAGGCAGTATCACTATGGAAGTAGGATTGCCCAACCTTCCTTCCGAGGAGTGGCTGGCGGGTTTGAACCGCCAGCCTTCTGGTTAGCAGTCAAGTGCTTTTAGCTACTATGCTACCAGAAACCTAAAAGGTAAATATTTTTGATGGTGACTTGCTTAATGCCTGGCTAAGTACACAGCAGAATTTGAGAGCTGAGCTCCTGATGTGTGAGTCCAAATCCAAGTTTCTACTTTGCCATGCTGACTGGGGCAGTACTTTGGTCACTGACAAGTATCAGTGTAAATAACAAAAACTGTGTGTACTCACACATATCAGAGATTAAACACTGATTTGATTCTCCTACCAGTGATAATAGGAGCTCTGGTGGCATAGTACCCAAGGCATTTGACTGCTATCCAGAAGCCTGCCAGTTCAAACCCACCAGCCACTCCTCGGAAGGAAGATTGGGCAAGCTACTTCTGTAGAGATATTGCCTCGGAAACCCAAGGAAGGGTGGCTAAGAGTCAAATTGACTCAATGGCAGTGAGTATATAGTATACCAGTGATAATGTCTAGCTGGCAGCCTGGGTGGTGCAAACAGTTAAGTACTTCACTAGTAGTTAAAAGGTTAGTGGTTCAAACCTACCCAGAGGTGCCTTGGAAGACAGGCCAGGTAAACCACTTCTGGAAAGCCCCTTTTGGAGACTTTGCACACATAGGGTTGCCACAGAGTTTGAATTGACTCAGTGGCAACTAAACAGTGGGCTTGTCAGCAATTATTCACACACACACACACACACAAAGGTGGAAAGGTAAGTTGTTTGGGGATGAGGATTACTTAGGACTGAAATAACTTGCTGAATTGTATTTCTATATATACTCACTTGGGATCTTGCTAAAAAAGATAAAGATTAATTGAAGTTTTCAGTTTAACATGATTTTTCTGTGGCTAAATTTAAATGCTGCATTTTCAGTTTGATTATAAGACGTTTGAATTCAATATGAAAAACAGGCTGCCCCAATAAAACAATGGCTTCTCCCAAAGTGAAGCTCTATCCAAGCTTTCTTCCTTATCACCGAGCTGAAGGTTCAAAGCAAGTGGAGAACTTTGGTACTGAAGACGGAAACCATCCACCCTTCTTGCTTAATCATAAAAGACATGCTGCTTTGCAAGTAGAACCAAACTCCAAGTCTTAACCTTACAAATAACTTATGTATACTTCTACTAAGAACCTTTCTTGTCTAGTCATTTGTCCACCGCTTGAATTGGGATGTGAAATAATTTTGTTTTTGTAAAAGTGCAAGGCAGAACAAATGATAACAATGACAAGGTAATTATATTAACAAATACTTAGCGTTAAATATGTCGCAGGCACCATGCTGAGGAAAAACAAAACACGACACTGCCCTTGAGTGGGATCCAACTCATAGCGAGTCCTCCTTGGGTTTCCGAGGCAGTATTACCACAGAAGTAGATGGACCAAACTTCCTCCCAAGGAGTGGCTGGTGAGTTTGAACCGCTAGCCTTCTGGTTAGCAGTCAGATGCCTTAGGCATTATGCCACCAAAGCTCTTGGGCACCATACTTCTTCTTATTATTATGTGCCGTAGAGTCGGTCCCGACTCATAGCGACCCCTCCTTGGGTTTCCGAGGCAGTATCACTACGGAAGTAGGATTGCCCAACCTTCCTTCCGAGGAGGTTAGCTGTCAAGTGCTTTAGCCACTATGCTACCAGAGCTAGGCACTTTATATTATTTAACTTAACCATTCGGAAGGAAGATGGGGCAATCTACTTCCGTAGTGATACCGCCTCGGAAACCCAAGGAGGGGTCGTTATGAGTCAGGTCCAACCCGAGCACACATCACAACAACAACAACTTAACCATTAGCCACGAGCTCCTATTACTCGATTTTATGGATGAGGAAATAGGACATGGTAGTTTACAGAACTTGCCTACAGTTACACGCTAGAAAGTGGACCGGAACCAGGGGTGCGGATCCCAAAGTCCAGGCTCTTCACTACTTAACCCAATCGCCTCGAGATCTCTCAGCAAAGGTCATAAGAAAAAACGGGTCACTCGCACTGCCTCCCTTTCCCCCTGGGCTCCGACAGGACCAGGGCAGACCAACTCGGGGGTAGGGGCCGCGGTTACTTCATCTGCAAAGCTCAGAACCTCCAAGGAGTCCTTAGCCCAAAGGGCACTTGCCTAGCAAGCCTCTTTGGAAGGTGGCGGCGTCAAGGCGGTCCAGCGAGCTTAGCCCTGCCAAGCTCACGGATACGCCCCCGAATCTGTCCAGCTCGCCCTGAAGCTCGACCACTCCGGCTGGGGGATCCCGCGCGCAGCTGCGCCCACCCGAGGTCCCGCGATGCCCTGCGGAGAATATCGGGTGGCGGGCCCTGGCCAGCGCTGCGCGCCAGCAGCCCCAACTCAGTAGCCGGGGCATCTCCGCGCCAGCAAACACGGTCCTTCTCGCTCGGTCCCCAAGTGTCCTCCTTGGCGAGGTTGCTACCGTACATCTTAGAAGAGTGCCATCTACTCCTCTCAGTTGAGCTGGGCGACCAAATTTGCACTGGTGGCATAGCCTAAGGCATTTGACTGCTAAAAAGAAGCCTGCCTGTTCCAACCCACCAGTCACTACTCGGAAGGAAGATTGGACAATCTACTTCCGTAGTGATTTCTTGTTGTTGCTATGTGCCGTTTAGTCGGACTGACTCACAGCGACCCCTCCTTGGGTTTCCGAGGCAGTATCACTACGGAAGTAGATTTGCCCCATCTTCCTTCCTCCGAGTGGCTGGTGGGTTTGAACCGCCAGCCTTCGGTTAGCAGTCAAGTGCCTTAGGCACTACGCTTTCAGAGCTCCCTGGAAACCCAAGGAGGGGTCGCTGTGAGTCTGTGCGACTTCACCGCAGTGAGAGTTGAGCCCTTTTAGCAATTAGCCTGGGAAGGGCGGGGAGAGGCTTTCCATTCATACAAATATAATTTTCCTCCCTTGCTAGTTTAATTCAACCGACGTTTGTTTAGGGATGAAGGCAGTGGGCAGAGATACGAAAAAGTTCCTTTTTTTTTTTTTCCAGGAATTTACAATCTAAATGGTGATTTTGTCCACTTCATCAGTCTTCCTTTGCAGATGTCAGACCTTCTGTAACCTCTTCAAAGATCGCGGGTTTTGAAGATGCTCAGTTCTCGGTCTCCTAGTAGTACCGTGCTCCAATCGAGGGATTACGGCACAGGGAGGAGCCACGCTTACTTCTGCCCCGGAAGTTTTTCCTCTTAGAGATGCGCGCACATTGAGCCGGCTTTGCCGTTCCTTTGCCCCGCTGCCTTTTGACTATGTCTTCTAAGAAAAACCGAAAGCGGCAGAACCAATGCGCGGAGAACGGTTTGCCCTCTTTCTCTGCGGCTTCTTCTCCTGCGGGGGCCACGGCTCCTTCTTCTGGGCCAGGCTTCACGACGGCGGCCGGAACTCTGGCGGTGACAAACTTCATAGAAAAGGGTAAAGGTTTCTGAGAGGGAGAACCGAGGCCGAGGGGGCACAATTCGTAAAGCGGGAGGCCCAGCGATGCTGCCCAGAAACGCAGAGGGTTTTGAAAATTGGGCAAGATAGGAGCTCGGAAGGAAGGTTGGGCAATCCTACTTCCGTAGTGATACTGCCTCGGAAACCCAAGGAGGGGTCGCTATGAGTCGGGGGTCGACTCGACGGCACATAACAACAACGACAACAAGGTGTGAGAGCAGCAAAGGGAAGTATGTAAGACGCCTGCGGTCGCACCTACCTTGTAGAAATTAGGCAGAAATGGTTGATTTTTGTCTAAGTCAAGTCCTTTCTTTTGTAAGGGTTTTGAGTCTCTGAGTTGCACTTTAAAGGACCTTGCCTTATCATAATTAACGGTGCATAATTGTTCATAACTTGAACCCAAATCTAGCGAGTGTATGTTGTGTATACTAAAAAAACTAAATATCCAGTAAAGATGTGGATATATACCGCCTAAGAGCCTCACCGTGTCTTTAAGAATGAAGGTGACTTTTTCTTTCATTATTACACAGAATCTGGTATTTAATGACTATTACTTTCAAGAGAGATCTGGTGCATAGTGGTTAAGCGCTAGGCTGTTAACCAGAAGCTCGGTGGTTGGAGCCCACCTGCCCCTCCTAGGGAGGAAGATGAGGCAGTCTGCTTCCATAAAGATTTACAGCTTTGGAAACCCTAATGGGGGCAGATTACCTCTCCTGTAGGGTAACTGTGAGTCAGAATCCAGTCGATGGCAATGAGTTTGGTTTGGTTTTGATTGCATACTAATAGGTTAAGTCCTGGCATTTACTTTTGTAAGATTACAGTTATTGGAAACCTGTGAAGTGCAGCTGTACTCTGTGGGGTCTCCATGAGTCAGAATCCACTCCATGGCAAGAGGTTAGGTTGTTTTAGAAGGTCAGATACTTCATGTACATACCTCACTTTATCTTTACAGAAGTCCTGGGGAATGACTACTGAATTATTATACCTATTTAACAAAGGAAGAATAGTTAATGTGATTTGCCTCAGGTTACACAGATACTAAGTGTACTAAGGCGATACTTGAGTCCAAGATGCATTTGACTCCAAAGCCAATCTCCTACATCATACTTCTCTTGACTTGGAGTAACTAACTCATCTGAAAAGTCATTTCATCTGTAAAGCTTTTAGCAGACTTGATGTGCAGTAGCTTTGAAAAATAAGCCAGACTAAAATTCAGAGTGACAATATTTTTCGTCTAATGTAGACACTAAAACGGTCTTAGAATTAGCATAGTATTTTCATTCTCCTTTAGATCACAGGACATCTTGTTCTGTCCTTCATATTCAACCTCTCTTTCTCAACTGGATCCTTCCCATCAGCATTTAAACAGGCTCATTTCTCTTGCTTAATTCAAGCTAAACGTCTACACTTTTTTTATTATCACCATTCAATCTCTCTTCATCCTTTATTATAAGACTTCTTGAATGGAGCTGTCTCTGCCTCATCTCTCATTCATTAGCCTATTACTGATTGGTTCGACATCATCATTATGTGGAAACTGCCCCTGCCTTGATCACCAATGACCTCCATGTGATAAATCCAGTGGACGCTTTTTTGTTACATACCTTACTTGACCTCTCAGCAGCTTTTTGTATTGTTGATCATTTCCTCTTTGAAACACTTTCTTTTTTGACTTATGCGTCTTGAAACTTTCCTCATATTCTCTATTCTTGTTGATAACTTCATCACGGTTTCCTTTGTGGTCTTACCCCTTCCACCTGTTCATTGAATGTTGAAGACCCTCAATTCTTAGTTGTAAACTCTCTTTTTCTCTGTATAAATATTTTTTTCTTGGCAAGTTAATATCTGGAGTTTCCCTTCGGTACTTTGATTATTTTTAGATTTATGTTTTTAATTCATTCTGCTTCTGATTCAGTTGTTTCTAGACCATTTTTTCTCAAACTCTTGTGATGAAGATTTTTAAATATCCATTATGTTGCCTATCAGCACTTTCAAAAAATACAGAAAAAATGAATGATTAGAAAAAATAAGTTAAAAAACCAAAATTTTTTATTAGATTCAATGGATGTAAAATTACTTTGTCAAATTGCAGTGAAAGTTTATAAATGTTTACTCTTACTTTCTGTACTTAACTCTTCATGAGCCAATAACATAATTTTTGAATCACTGATTGAATAATACTGTACTAGATCTCTTCTATTGACTGCTAACCAGAAGGCTGGCAGTTCAAACCCACCAGCCACTCCTTGGAAGGTTGGGCAATCTACTTCCGTAGTGATACTGCCTCGGAAACCCAAGGAGGGGTCACTATGAGTCGGGTCCCACTCCATGGCACATAACAACAACAACAACAACATATGTCTTCTCTTGGATCTCTCAAAAGCATATTAAGACTGACCTCATGCACTCTTTTTCACAAAACAAAACAAAACAAAACAAACTCTAGCCCTGTTCCATTTTTCCTTTTGCAAAATTCAGAATCCATGATACCACACTTTCTCACATCTCATATCTAGTCTACCATCAAGTTCTGTTCAGCATCTAAGTATCTTCCACATTTCTCTTCTCTGTGCCTGACTTTCACCTTAATCTCAGACACCATCTTCTCTCACGTAGACAGTAGTAGCCATTTAACTAGTTTCTCTACTTCCGTTTTTGGAAAAAACCAAACCCACTGCCATTGAGTCGATTGTGACTCAGCAACACATTTTACTCCCTTCTAATTCCTTTTCCGGTAGCATAGTGGCTAAGACACTTGCCTGCTAACCAGACAGCTGGCGGTTCAAACCCACCAGCCACTCCTCGGAAGGAAGGTTGGGCAATCCTACTTCCGTAGTGATACTGCCTCAGAAACCCAAGGAGAGGTCGCTATGAGTCAGGGCCGACTCAACGGCACATAACAACAACAACAATTCCTTTTCCATTCTGTAGCCAGAATGATCTTTTTAATGAAGATACCCTGTTTTAGTGAAAATTACCCTGTTTCTCACCCCTTACTTAACTCCTATTGATGTCAGAGTAAAGACTGGCCCAGCCCTGCCATTGATACTGTCAAAGCAGCTCCTGATTCTCTGTCCTCCCCCTCCCCCTTCTCAGATCCTGTGTCCCCAGGGTTGCCTCCACATCTCAGTTCTTATCACTGAAGGTAGAGTCATTTTGGCTCTGTACTACTAAAAACTGGCCCATCATGGGTACCCTCTGAAGGGTACAGTTCTATACTTTGTACCACATAGTCTCCATCACTGAATCCAGCCTATCTCCTGGAGTGGTCTGAACCTTCCTTATGTGTCCTGCCTTGTCTCCTACTCTTCTGCCGTGTATTTTCTCCAGCAGATGCACTGTACTCCTTGCTGCCCAATATCTAGACATGGCTGTTCTCTTTCCTGAGAATTATCTTTTTCTTCTCTGTATTTAGTTAATTCTTATTCTTTCTTTAGGTCTGTATTTAAATATTACTTCTTTAGAAGTGTTCCCTGTTTCTTCTAAATTAGGTCAGATCCCACATTATAGGTTCGTTTAGGACTTCTAATCATTCTTTCATAGCATTAACTTTGGTTTATAATTATACAATTATTTAATGATTGTTTGATAACTTTCTCATTCTACTAGATGATAAGGTCCCGAGGCCAAGGACTGTATTTTCTTTTGTTCACCTTTTATCTCCAGTCCCTAGCATACTGTATGCCATATAGTAGGCCTGTAATAAATATTTGCTGAATGAATAAGTGAAAGGTGAATGGTTAATTATTTGAAATTATCTTTACTATCTCTTTGGTTAATCTGGCACATAAAGTGCTCAGTAAATAAGAAGGTAGTTACTTGGGGAAGATGGCTGTCAAGATACTTTCTAAAGTACTAGGGGAATATGGACTTGGACTAAACCAAAACAAAACCAAATTTGTTAGAAATATGCCACGCCATCTTGCATGGTTCTTCCGGGTTCTTCTTCATTCCCTGCTGCCCCGCCCAAGGTCATAAGTCAGTTAAAGGAAGTAGAAACTGAGCTTCCTGCAAGGTGTGAATTTTAAAAGGCAACATAGCCTCTGATCGATTAAGACCTCTTCCTCCAGCTCTGATGTACAACCTCCTAACCCCAGGTCTATATAAGACCACCTTCTTCCTGCTCTTCCTCTTCCTCTTCTTCCTCTCTCTCTTCTTCTCTTCTTCTCTTCTTCCTCTTTCTTTCTTCTTCTTTTCTTCCTCTTCTCTTCTTCTTCCCCCTCTTCTTCTTCTGTCCTTCCTCAGTGCAGGTGCCCTTTCACCTCTTTAATAAAATCTCCTTTTGGGTACCCTGATGTGTGGCGTGGTCGTTGAGTGCCGACGGAGCTCTAACAAAATTCACTGTCGTGGAGTTGGTCCCGACTCATAGCGACCCCTCCTTGTGTTTCTGAGGTGGTATCTCTACAGAAGTAGATTGCCCAGTCTTCCTTCTGAGGCATGGCTGAAAGGGGTTCCGAGGGGTTTGAATTGCCAGCTTTCTGGTTAGCAGTCAAATGCTTTAGGAATGTGGACTAGTGAAGAGAATTGGGTAGAGGCCAGCTTGAGTAGATTTGGATATTAGTGGTGAATACAATGGACATGTATTAGGAAATGGGGCTTTTTGATAGGAATTGGTACATGATCTTCACTAGTGATAGGAATGAATTGAGACTATTTAAGGAAGTCTGTAAGGAGCCCTGGTGGCACAGTGGTTCCCTGCTTGGCTGATAAACTGAAAGGTTGGCAGTTGCTACCAGTGGCTCCATGAGAGAAAAGACCTGGTGATTTGCTTCTGTAAAGATTTCTGCCTAGGAAACCCTTTGTGGCAGTCCTACTCTGTCCTACAGGGTCACAGTGAGTTGGAATTGACTTGATGGCACATAACAACAGCAATAAGGAAGCCTGTAATGTGAAAATCTGGCGCAGGATGTATAGGCAAGATAGAATGAAGGAGAAGAAAATCTAGAGTCTTGTGAAGAACAGTGAGATAACTCTTAAAAGCAAAGGGTAATTCGTTAGGATTTAGAAAAGAAATGGTAGGAACTAAACATTACGTGACCATGAAACAGCAGGATGTTTTGCTGTTACTGATGAGTAAATTGTGTAAGAGATCTGTCTAGCCTCATACGTTATGTGGTATGCTCATTTTGTTTTATACTCAATACTGTTAATCTTAGCTCTGTGAGATGCTTTGTTTTTCTAGCTATATTCATCTCATGACAAAAAGGAAAATAAATATGTACCAGAAAGTTTTAGTAACAGAGAATATTATAACTCAAGACAACCTCATAGTTTTATTTTCAGTGATTTAATTACTTTCTAAGCAGAGGTATGTCTTTTTGATTATTAAGGAATACTAACGTAAGGTATAGCTGCTATGAGTATGATGTATGCTCTAATAAGTTCATAACAAAGTTTGTGGTAGCTTTAAGTTCCATAAATGTTTCAACTGCTATATTGGAAGCACCATTAGGCATTAGAGATCCAAAGATAAATATGACCCAGTTCTTTCAGTGGTATAATTTAGCAGTAAGTCAGACTATTGAATATGAATATTACGGTTATAAATGCTGGTTAACTGCTAGCAGTGGGTCTTGGGAGAGCCAGAGGAAGGATGCCTACCCAAATCTGGAACTTTAGGGTGGGTAGGGAGATGTGGAGATGTTACTTATTTTCAGAGGTGTTGCCAACTATACTAAGTCTAGACCCCTTCTTTAGAGCAAAATGTGAAATACAATAGTATTTCAGTAAGTGTAAGCACAGGGAAAAGACGTCTGTTACTATTCTATATTCTATGTTTTTTTTTTTTTAAGTTTTGATTTGGGTGAAAGTTTACAGGGCAAACTCATTTTCCATTAATCAGATCATACACATTTTGTTTCATGACATTGATTACAATCCCCACAATGTAATAGCTCTCTTCCGCTTCCTCCCTGTGGTTACCTTTTCTCTGTGCCCTTTCCTTTGCATTCCTGTAGCTTGAATTTTGTCCCTGCTCAAATGCTACCCTTCTGATCTCCCACGGTTGTTTGTTTTAAGGAGTGGACCTGCTTGTATAATTGTTCACTTCCTCTGCCTATCTATTGTTTGGCTGGAAGTTAAGCAACTCTGTCTACATATTCTTTTTTTTTTTTTTAATTAGGATTTGGGTGAAGATTTACAGAGTAAATTCACTTTTCATACAGCAGTTCACATATACTT